TGAACTTGAAGTCGTCATCTCCACTGCTCGCGCAAACATCCCACCCTCCCACCCGCAACTTGTTTGGCAAAACTCATGATGCGGGTGGCGGCGGCGCGACCGACGACGGCATCGATGATGGCATCCTCAATGACGATGATCGTCTGCTTGAGTCGTTGATGAAGGTACGCGCGATGAAGCTGCTCAGACGTGCGCGATGACAAGATGACATCGACAAGGACTGCGACGATGATGAAGATGGAGCCAACGGCGGCGACGTTAAGGAGGACGACGGCACGGACGATGACGGCGCCGATGATGGCAAAGACGTGGACGATGCTGATGACCATCTGTCGATGAGGCAGGTGATCGCGATGATGCTGACAAGGTTGAAGAGGAAATCCGCGCGCGCAGAAGTTCAAGATACCTGTCAGACTGATCATGCGCGCGCGGCGGTGCGCGCATGTGGCCCACGTTGTATTTTTTGCGAGGGATTCGTGCCCTGGGCGCATGACAGGAGTGTCGCGGGAGCACCGCGCGGTGAGATGAAATCGCTGGATTTACCAGAATTCATTAGATTCCTATGGTTTTTGTATGATTTCGGCATGAGCGCGCGGACAGGAAATTTGAAAAGTTTTTGTTGAAAAACCATTGGTTTTTCACTGCTTTTATGTTGAAATGCTTGCATACATAGTATGTTTGGTACGATTTCGGATGACTGGGGGCCCTAGACTCCTGGGGGGCCCTAGACTACTGGGGAGCCCCCTGACTCCTGGGGGCCCTAGACTCCTGGGGGGCCCTCGCCTCCTGGGGGCCCTAGACTCCTGGGGGCCCTAGACTCCTGGGGGGCCCGAGACTCCTGGGGGCCCTAGACTCCTGGGGGCCCTAGACTCCTGGGGGGCCCTAGACTCCTGGGGTGCCCTACACTCCTGGTTGGCCCTAGACTCCTGGGGGGGCCCAAAGACTCCTGGGGGGCCCTAGACTCCTGGGGGCCCTAGACTCCTGGGGGCCCTAGATTCCTGGGGGCCCTAGACTCCTGGGGGCCCTAAACTCCTGGGGGCCCTAGACTCCTGGGGGCCCTAGACTCCTGGGGGCCCTAGACTCCTGGGGGGCCCTAGACTCCTGGGGGGCCCTAGACTCCTGGGGGGCCCTAGACTCTTGGGGGGCCCTAGACTCCTGGGGGGGGCCCTAGACTCCTGGGGGCCCTAGACTCCTGGGGGCCCTAGACTCCTGGGGGGGCCTGGAATCTAAGGCCCAAGAGTCTCGGGCCCTAAACTCCTGGGCCTCAAACACCCCAGGGCCCTAGACTCCTGGGCCCAGACTTTCCAGGGCCCTAGACTCCTGGGCCCTAGACTCCAGGGCCCCTGTCCCAGCTGACGTTGCTGTTGGGGGCCCAGGGCCCTGGAGTCTAGGGCACAAGAGTCTCGGGCCCTAGACTCCTGGGCCCTAGACTCCAGGGCCCTAGACTCCTGGGCCCTAGACCCCCCGGGGCCCTAGACTCCAAGGCCCTGCACTCCAGGGCCCCCGTCCCAGCTGACGTTGCTATTCGGGGTCCGGGGCCACTGGAGTCTAGGGCCCAGGAGTCTCGGGCCCTGGAGTCAGGTGGAGCTGTCTAGGGCCTGAGATTCCTGGGCCGTGGAGTCCAGGGCGGCGTTGCTAATTGTTGCTGTTTATTGCTGTTGCTGTTCCCAGCTGACGGTGCTCCCCTCGACTGAGCCCTGGACGGGGGTTCAGGAGTTTAGGGCCCTGGAGTCCAAGGCCCTGGAGTCTATGGCCCAGGAGCCTAGGGCTCTGGAGCCTGAG